CTGTTTGGCTGTGACTCCATCCTGGAGAGAAATATCAGCTGTGCTGCTGCCATCAACACCTTTGTTTCTAGATGTTGGAGCTTGGCCTGTTTTCCAGTGTAGTCCTGTTTCTCTGACTGTGACTAACTGGATGTGCTCTCTTCATCCTCTGACATGGGAGCTGGCTCGGAGCTCGTCTGCCTGGCTGTGTGTTTCCTGGACGGGGCCGCCTGTGGAGCTGGTTGACAGTTGCCTTTTGTATCTATGCTTCTTTTTCTATGTCTGCTTCTGTCTCCTTGAACCCCAGTGGGCCTCAGCAGATGGCCGCTCACACTGAGCCTGGTTCTGCTGGAGGTTTCTTCCTGTTCAAAGGGAGTTTTTCCTCTCCACTGTCGCTGCATGCATGCTTAGTATCCAGTTGATTTTCATGCAGTAAGTTCTCTGTGCGCATTCTTAATGCTGCAAATAAAATTGATCATGAGCAAACCCAAGCGTTTGTTGTTTTTACTGGTTATAAGTAGTAAGGTATCATCAATGCTTCCTTCATCTTCCAGCAAAATGATCCAGAAATCTGTTCAGATTTATTCAAGTTTCACAGAAAATGTCATGTTGTTGTTTTTTAAATGTAAAATAATGAATTATATCTGAGGTCTCCTGTGAAAGTCTATCATTTTCCTTTGATTCATCCAAAGGTGTAGGAAGTGGAATGAGGAGCATCCATGATTTCCAGTCCACTCAGAGCTTCAGCAGCAGTGAGCTCAGATTAAAGGTCAGGACTCTGGCCTTAACAGCTGCAGGACAATAGCAGCCATTGATTAGATGATCTGAATCCAACTGAGGCTGAGAGACATTCAGTCAGTTCTGCTGACACTGAGCGGGGGTCACTTTCTGTTCCATCCACTGGGTAGAAAGGAAAACAGACTTAAGCTACATTGGGAGCATCATGTATTAAAGACTAAATGACCTTTCTAATAAGCCGAATTTTCAAGCAAGCTCTGCGTTAAAGAAAATCAGTGTCAACTAAAGCCCTGTGTGTTTGGAACGGATAAAGGCTCATGGCCATTAGTCCGATTTCAACCATAAACAACCCCTTACTGGTGACCAGTAGCTGCTTCCAGCCAGTCCTCCATTATTTACCAACACACCTGGCTGTTCAGATGACACCCTGGCTTTATTCCTTATCCCCTCAGCAGGGCAGTTATGGGGTCAAAGTGCACTCAATCTGAGATGGCGAGGTAGAAAACAAAGACCCGTCCATTTTCACAGCTTATATTGCCCATTTATTGTGGCAATCAGGAAGCAGAGCCACTGGGTGACTGCTGTTCAGAAATGGAAATACGGGAGGCAAAGTTTCTCCTGTTTTGCTTCGCTCCTTCAATAAAATTTCCCTTTCAGTTAGACCCTGCTGGTCTGCAGTATAGCAGCCCTGCTGCAGGTGTGCAGAATATTTGCATGTATAGATTTGGTTAAAACTACTGGTTTGCTTTTCAAATTTGGCCTCATTGTAAACTCCAACCTGTAGGCTAATGTCCAAAAGATAATCCTAAATTTATCTTTCTTTTCCTGCCAGTGTGGGTTCCTATGAGTGCGCCAAATCAGATTCCACTTCAGAAAACTTGGTAGATAATCCTGGGAAACGTGATGGAGTCCAGTGAGTTAGCACCAACGCAGAAACTTTCCACCCAGTTAATTCCTCATGAAGCTACAGCTTCCAGCATCTCTTAGACGGTTTATCAAAGCCGTTTCATAAAAATGACATGAAGACAAAGAAGAGAGACTTCAGCAGTTTGGAGGTTCTGCTGACTGAGAGCTAATCAGCAGAATTAAAGGAAGAGGAAAAGCCAATAATAAATTACAACAGCTGTAAAAGACGTGGTTTCACAAAATTAAACAATAAAATAATTGGATCTAAATATGGTGTCAAATTAGAAAGTCAATGAAAACTATCAGTGACGTATGATCTAAATGTTTGATGTGAGTTTTTCATCAACCAACAGGAATCCAGTCTGTAGAATCTGCACAGACTTCTACTCTACATCTCAAGACAATGTCTGCCATCCCGTCATCTCACTTAATATAAAAATGTTCAATTCAGACCAAACAGCTCATTTAGTGTCTAATAACTGAGTCCATGTCGTACTGATAGAAGAGGTTCAACCAGCAACATGTTGCTGAACTTCTATTCCAAACTTTCTGTGTTCTGCAGCAGCTTGATCTCAGAGTCGCAGACTCTTCTTTCTTTGGATGAAATGACAGGAAGTGAAGCCAAAGTCCCCCGCAGGTAGTTCTGCCAGCAGTGAATCAAAATGTAATCTGTAATTGTAGAGTTTAATGATGTAGACTAATAAACAACTGTTGCTAAGCAACAAAGATGAAGTTATTTAGTGAAAAACTATTTGGGCTGATCACTGCAGCACTGACCAAGTCACTGGGTGCAGGAATCAGGGTGACAGCTTGAACTAAAGATGGCCCATTCCCCCACTTTACAACCATTTGGCTCGGAGGCAAACTTCCTTTAAGCCGGGTGTCCGCTATGCGATATTTACAATCGTTGCACGCAGCTACAGCGCTAACTGTACGATGAAATCACAGGGTTTAAAAGCTCACCATGTTTGTTCTCACACTGGGCAACCCGACGCTCTGATTACGACGGCCGACGGAATTTCAAACATGTTCGATTTTCTCCCGACCTTACGATTCCTGATGGGGAGGCGGTCGTTAGAGGCTGATCGCCCCTCGTTACCCCCTGTTCACTACATGATGCACGAGTGTAAGCCCAGCTTTAGTTGCTCAGACCAATAACAGTGGTGGTCAAATTTAGCAGAAACCAGTGAAGCCCAACATCTCTACCTAACTACTCTAAACTCGGTCCTCCTGCACGCTGAGCTCTAAACCCGGCTCTAAACTCGGTCCTCCCGCACGCTGAGCTCTAAACTCAGCTCTAAACTCGGTCCTACCGCACGCTGAGCTCTAAACTCGGCTCTAAACTCGGTCCTACCGCACGCTGAGCTCTAAACTCGGCTCTAAACTCGGTCCTACTGCACGCTGAGCTCTAAA